ACGCATCTCTCTCTCTCTCTCTCTCTCTCTCTCTCTCTCTCTCTCTCTCTCTCTCTCTCTCTCACACACACACACACAGAGTGCAATTTAAAACTAAAAAGTGTTTAGAGATTTTATTGATCAGGCTAACGACAAGAATTACCACCAACAATGACATCATGCTTACGTCAGCAAATTTGCTTCATTAAGTAATAACTATATTTAAATTTATATGTTAGATGTTATTTTAATTAATGCACATAATTATTTTTTTTCAAAGCATGTAGCATCAACTTGTTAAATGTAATTATGTTGTAGCCTAGCTACATCATTTTTATTCTCTTTAATTAATTTAAAATATTTCTTCGTTTAATTTATCCGAATGTATTTCGATATACGTTTCTCCGATTCTTTTTAAGTATCGTCTAAGGTACTTTACGCACCAACAAACACATTATAAAACTCATAATAAACAACATCAATATAATTTAGCGCAATCTTATCCTTTAATATGTAGTTAAATCGCTCTGGAATCCAAAGTGACGTATATTATGAAAAAAAAATATAATTACGAGATTAATTATATAAAATTAAATAATCAACTCAAACTATTATATTTATGCAAGAACAATTATTTAATTTCTTGAAGTTGTAATAATTAAACCCCACTTGCATTAGGCAACAAATCAAGATTAGTGTTAACACATCCACTAATAGAATGGATTAAGACATGGTTTAAAGGGACAGAGAGGAAACAAATGATGGTCTGCGTGGAGCAATCAATTTAGATTCTTGCTAAAAACACTTACTATATATATATATTTTATTTTAATTTATATATAAAATAATTTTAATTTGAAAATAAAAAAAATAATAAAATAAGGCACGAGAGAATGATGTAGCGTGTAAGGTTTATTTTATTTTTCATCAAAATCAAGAGATTTGCTTGTAACAGGGCTCGAGGAACAGTACTTATGATGAGTAAGTAGTGCATGCAATACATACATATATAGATACATACACATACAAACACGTGTACGTGTGTGTGTGTGTGTGTGTGTGTGTGTGTGTGTGTGTGTGTGTTTGTGTGTGGGGGTATGCAAAGGCATTGGGAATGGAGTGGAAAAGTGTGGAAGATTTATAAGCACTTGAAAGTAAGTATTGTAACATGTCTTAGTTTTGTTTGGTTCCAAAATCTCTTAATTAATTGATTAGGGTTTTGGCAAGTATAGGTAATGATTAGGTCTTATTCCTAATAAGAATCCTTATAGATGTGATAATTAAGGATTAATTACAAGAATATAATTGACAGCTTGCCTAAGTTATGGACAAGATGAATTAAAACCCTATGTGCCTATATATATTTATTTTAATTATGAAGTTCCTTAATTTAAATCAATATATGTAATTCCCGATAAAACAAATTGGTTTCAGATCGCGATGGAAATCGGACAGATCATATTGGAATGAACGCGAGATCTTTATTCAATCAATGTGAACAAGAGTTTACAAAACAATTAACAAGAAGATCAAATTAATACATAGATTTTCTTCAACAAATTAAATCTCTCTATTGTCTTTCTTCCTCTTCTCTCACTGATTAATTTCTCTCATCTTTCTCTTTCTATCTAAATACAACCTTCTCTCTCATAACCCTAACTAAAGACAATTACTTCTCATTTTATAACCTTCCAAAAGTTAGTTTCATCTCCAAATCTTATCAGCTAATACACGGGCTCCGCCTCAGCAATGCAGTTAGTTATTATGCTCTTGCGATATCGATCAATCATCCAGTGCATATACAATTAGTTGCTTGAGCGACACTCTCTAGATTCCTTTATCATCAGAACCACTCTTCTTTGATGAATTGGCGATCAGATCCAACAGTAAAGATGTCGCAAATGCCCTTTTCTTAATTAACAGTTTATTACGTGTCTTAATTACACCAAAGCTAAGTTTCCACACCAAATGAAATTGCATATAAACCCTCTAATTATATCATTAACAACATAAATTAAACCACATAAATAAGCATGTGCGGAAGTGGTAAATAGTTCTTAGTGGTAGTTAAATGATCAAACCTCAAACTCTTTTCCTAATTTATTTAGTGGCTAAAATTTCTACAAATAAAATAGTGGTGGGCACTTAATTATCTCTTGCAATAACTAACTTATATATATATATATTTTTTTTTTTTTGTGCGCATGGTACAGTACCACTCACACTTTTTAGTACTTCAAATTACACACATAAAAAAATAATAATAATTTTATTTTTGATATATATAAAATATGCGCATGCAAGCATGTATGGCGGCTAAAGTCACTTGTAACCCTCTCAAATTATGCATTTATCGATCTATGTTTTTATTTATTTAATTTATTTTTTATTTATTTGTGGGGACTTTGTGTTTGCAAAATTAAAGAATGTTCAAGATTAGATTGGCTATGGGGGCCTTGTTTGTCTTGAAGGTAGGGTACATATACATAAATATATATACATACTAGAAAACAAATGTTTTAATTAGTTACATAGGACTTTGTCGGGGCACTATCTTATTAGGTATAGTAGGATAGTTTATTTATTTTGTTTTTTAATTTTTTTGTCTATTATTTTTCTATATTAGTGTCACGTGTCGATTTCTGATTTGTAGGCGACATGCGCATTGGTCATATGTTTTATTTATTAATTTCTAATTCATCTAAAATTGATTTCAGACCGAGCTGGGAGGCGACATGCGCGCATTGGTTAACATTATATTCATTAATTTCTCAAGATTATTATTACTATTATTATTAATTACCTAATTAAATAAATTCAAACACTTTTCACCTTTACTTTTGATGTAAACTAGTTTTGGATTTTGTTATGTATACTTTTGAGGTAAAGATTTTGGCTCCAAAAAAATACTTACCTTTATCCTTAAAAGTTACATGTAGTTGACAATTCATATCTCAACCCACCAATACACACACACAAACATGTGTACATGTGTGTGTGTGTGTTGAGTTTATGAGTATGGAGTTTGGTGGTGCGCGTGCAGTATATGAGAGTGACTCAGGGAGCTAGAAGATGTGGTGATAATGCCGAGTGTGCCACTGCCAGCGCACCACAATATATGATATATATATATATATATATATATATATATATGAAGAACATCATTTCTCTCTAGACTGCAAAAATCTCTCGATTCTGAAACTCACAATCTTGAATCATTGTCTATCCAACTCTTTCTTCCATTTCATCTTCCCTATATTGTCTTTTACTCCTTTTTCTTTTTAACCTCTCTCTCTCTCTCTCTCTCTCTCTCTCTCTCTCTCTCTCTCTCTCTCTCTTGTTAATTAATGTTAGGTGATAAATA